ACAAACATACGCAAGGACAGTTACTCCCTAAAAGAAGAAGAGCGGCTTTCTTCAAAACAGGATATAAAACAAACAAGACAAAATGAAAACTGTGAATAACGGTGTTTTCCCATTACATAACGCATTTACAACGGATGTCTGGAGAACTGACTGAGATTTATCGACTACTGACATTCAATAAAATGCTGCATAACAGCTAGAGGTGTGCAAAAGTATCAAAATATTTATATATCGTATCGTTTAATGCGATGATACTGTATCGATATCATGGGCTGCTGTATCGATATATCGCAGAGAGGATTTTTTGGTTTATTTTACTAAATTATTTTGTTACAGCTACAGTTTTGTTGCTTGTTTAGAGAAAGGAAACTTGTTTATGCGACACATTTGACGTATATGATTAAAGTAGGCGTGTTTCGTATTAACAGGGTTCCCACGGTCATGGAAATTCTGGAAAAGTCATGGAAATTAAAAATTTAATTCTCGAGACCTAGAAAATAATGGAATTTTAGTATTTCTTTCACGCAACTCCAGCGCTCAGTTAAGTTCTCATTAGACTATATTATTTCTTACTTATTTCTGAACGTCTGTGCCTTTTGTTTAAAAGAGATGACAATAAATAAATAATAAATACACTGACAGGATTTTAAATGTTAAAAACTATAATCGCAAACCATAAGGTGGGTGGAAAGGGTTAACATTTCATATTTAGACCTAAAAGTCTGATCAATTCTACACGTGTAGGTGCCGTAAAGTCATGGAAAATTCACTTTAGGTCATGAAAAAGTCTTGGAAAATTTTTTAAATATTGTCAGTGATAAAGAGTGAGAACATGGTATTAACTTTACACAAGAAGTGATTTAACAAAGACTTTTAGTATCACAGCCACGATTTAGCCTTTATTTTTATTGAACCGTATCGAATCGATTTGAAATATATCGTATCGAATTGAACACTCACTACATCGAGATATGGGCCCAGTCAAGCAGAAGTAAACAACAAGGCCAAAAATTCAAGTTAATGCATCTGATATAAAAATGTATTGAACAGATACATATGTACTCTAGTTTATGAAACTGTTGACCTTTTTTCTGTTCCATTTTTGGTTCTAAAGTTCCATATGTTTTAAACAGACCATGTATGAAACATGGAACAAAAATTATTTCCCAAATTTCAAAGACCCAAAAATCATGTAAATAAATGGATGTATTTCATCATATCTTGTGTTATTCCATCTGTTGATGAAGGTACATGATTTTAAAAAAAAAATGTATTTAAAATTATAAAAATTTGCTTGGAAGGACTGACATATTTTATAGAAATAGTTTCCTTTCATTTTGAAGTAATATTAAAGTATTCAGAAGAAAAAAAGCGACAAATGATGTAAAATCATGCACCTTCTACTTGTTTGCACAATTTTCCCTCCGTTACTTTTCCCTCCGTTACCATGACCTTTCTTCATATAAAATCTCATTAGTCAAAAAGTAAGAGGTTTTTCAACCTAATCTTGTACCATATGGTAGAAAACTATATGAAGCAAATATTCAAACCAGTTTGTTAAGGATGTAAGTGAGAACCAAGAGTTATCACTGTTTGGATTTAGTGCTGCATATTTCATTCCCTCCGTTACCGACATGAGTTTTTTTATTTTTTGTCAACAACTTGAAAGAATATCACAGGTTTAACTTGACCCTGTTGGAGTGTAACTCTTTCCTACATTCTGATACTTTACTTATTTCAATAGTTCCTCTAGTTTCTGAATAAGAGACATTTGAATGTAAAAAATCTGCCCCTGTTTCCCTCCGTTACCACTTGACTGGACCCAAATGTATCGTATCGGCAACTTACCCAGCCCTAATAACAGCACAAAGCAGCTCACCTGTTCTAGTTCCAGCTAAATAACTTTTTTTATGTTTGGATTGTGCTCAAGTAAAACACAAATTAAAGTCTAATAAAGCCTCAGACAGAGCAGTGCCTACAGTTAACATCACACCTCCAGGGACTGTTGGTGACCTCAGCGTCAAAGTATCAATAGTCCATCACATTACCATATGTGGTGACCTTGAGAGAGCAATTATTTACACTCGGCTAGTTCGTTTATTAACTCCCTCGTCCGTGTTAAAAGGTCAAGTGTCATTAATGATTCACGCCGGAACATTGGCTAAATTTGGAATATTACTTTTTGTGGAGTGGAAACTTTTGGCGACAACAGACCGAAACTCGAGCCAGGTCAGAAAGCGCCAAAAAATCCATTACCAAGTGGAACGTTTGCTGCAAGAGGAGCTATTTTTTATGTCAGTCCATTTTTAAAATAATGTTTAAATCAAGGGTCGACAACGTTAAATACTCAGAAAGCCATTTGGAGCGTCTTCCACAGAGAAGAAAACACCCAGAGCCTTGACTCTAAAATCAAGAGAACACTGCAGCTCTTTTGATTACTTGTATTCTCTGTATAAAAGACTTTTGTGAAATCAATGAAATGCTACAGAGGAGTTTTATTTCTGCATGTAACAAAAACATTCTGAACTCTGAAAAAAAGACACTTGATTGATGCTTACTTTTAAATGAAATACTCTTCATCCATCTCTGAGTCCTCTTTGTACAAAATAAAAATCCAAACTTAAATTACCCACCCACAGCGAACCAAAAACACCGTCTGCTTCTGTGTTCCGTCTCATCAGCCGTGAAAGAAAATGAATCTGCCCACTTAGCATTAAATTCTGTTCTGTTTTCTTCAAAAACTTCTTGGATTTGTCCGTCATTTACCTCGCCTGATTCACTTCGTAGAAACCGCGTGACCTCGCAGCATCAGGATTCGTTTGCTCGACTGTAGCCTGGTACTTTTTTTATTTAAACAATCGCTGCTGTTTGGTCGTGACATTTGTAATGTGCCAAATCCCGTAGGAAGAAGGACAATAACATCTTTCCCCTTGATAAAATTCACCAAACATTCTCTTTGTTCCGGCTTTAAATCCTCGATCTCGGGAATCGTTGCCAACACAGAATGTATGGCTCTTTGCTGATTGGCTGGTGCCCGAACTCGCACTTCTGGAGTTTTTGTGAACCGTCTAGTGTATTCTGATTCCTGACCTAATCGCTGGAGAGAGATGAAATTGAAAGGAGACACTAGGTGGCACCAGGGGTCGAAAAGCTCAATAAAACACGCTGCTGGTGTAGGTGCCGGTAAGTCTGGGTTGCCAGATGTGCGCCAGGTATTGCACATCGGCAGCTGTGACACTTATTTTGAGTGACAAAAATATTTACCGTATTTTACGATCTATTAGGGGCTCTGGATTATAAGGCGCACTGTCATTAAATGGTCTATTTTTGAACTTTTTTCACAAATAAACCGCGTGGGACTTTAAAGGAAACCCAACAGTGTGATGGGTGAGTGGTTTTGTTTGTTTGTTCGTTCACGGTGACTCTGGGCTTTGTTCAGTTGTGGCGTGTAGGGAGGGTGCTGTCTGGGACCAACGGATTGTCGGCGTGTTCGCAGTGACTCAGTTGTTCAGTCGTGTCTAGAAGCGGCACGTCGCGCTCGTTTTTTCGGTTTGTTCCTCCGTTCAGTTCCTCGTCGGCGTGGAGTGATGAGTGTGTCTGTGGGTGTTTTTCTCTGTGCAGTCGCTGTCTGCTCATTGTGTGTTTGCGGCTTTGTAGTTTATTGAAGTCATGCTGGGACATGGGGTTAGAGGCTTAAGAGTGCGTCTAATAGCCCGGAAAATACGGTAAAATGTTTTATTTTAATGTTACAAGATTACCATTATCTACAAATTTAGAATTACTTCTAAAAACGAACAAACTAAAATACAAATACATCTATTTATTAATGCAAGAAACATCTGTCTTAGGCTGCATTCAGACTGCAGCCTGAAGTGACCCAAATCCAATTTTTTGGCTTCTATGTTCCTGTATCTGATCTTTTAATGACAGTCTGAACGGCACAGATCCGATTTTTTCAAATGTGACCCATGACACTTGGATATGTGCTCCTGAAACCGATACATATCTGATCTTTTGACATGTGACTTCAGTGTGAATGGTCAAAGTGCATTCATCCACCTACACGTTATCAACAAGACACAAACGTCACTATTCTGCGCTGAAGTAGGAGAAAATTGTTAATGAACTCTGTGTCACTGAAGTGAAGCACATCACCACTCACCATCTTGGCTCCGTCTCCACATCCACACGTTCCTTTCAACGGACGTCGCTGCCGCTGCCCCATAAAACACCACGGCCAAAAAAACTCGTCCTTCTCAATCTCCTCCTTAAAACAAGTAAGTTGTTCATGTTCTGGCTCCGGTACGAGAGGAACTTTAAAATCTCCAGGTGCTCGATGCTGCGTCCATGTTTGGACAACTTCCGTAAACACAGAGACGCTCGCTGCGGTTGACGTCGTCGTGTCTAAAGTGCACATGCGGGATCGAATACAAGTCGCATTTAATTGGAAACGTGAACGAGGTCGCAAAAACATCGGATTTCACAAAAAAATCGGAATTGAACGTTAAGCCCTGCAGTCTGAACGTAGCCTAAGTCCTCCTGTTGGTTTGTTGGTTTGTCTATTCCACATATAACTTTTGAACCGCTCATCCGACTGATCTCAAACTTGGAAGGTGTCATCCTAATGGTGCGGGTGTGTGCAGTGCCAAGTTTCAGGTCATCCGGGCAAAAAATGCCAAAGATCTGGTTTGTTATTTTAAAATGAGACAAACTGTATTTCAACTTTTCTACACAAAAAATCTGTCTGTCTGTGTGGAAAAGTTGTAATGCAGCAAGAATGTTCCGACAGTTTTATTCAGTTCACAAAAAGCTGTTGTCATATTTGATTATCATTTGTCTAATCACGACTGTTGTGTAAATTAAACAAGTTCGGGCCCTTGTTTTGTTGTTATTAAATCCTCATTATTTATTAAAGAGCCACAACAGAAGGATGAAAGAGCCACATGCGGCTGCCGACTCCTGCTCTGAATAAATCTGGTGTTTGATGTTGTGTGTTGTAGGATCTCTGAGATGAAGCGGATCGCGGGGAGTCTGGTCTTCATCTTTCTCCTCTTCCTCCTCACCGCCGCGCTGGTTAAAGTGCCCATGGAGGAGGATCGCTTCTTCTCCGTCACCATGGCCACCATCTGGTTCATCAACTGTAAGCCACAAGTCACTCGAACATTTCACGAGAGAAAACGTTTAATGAGATGTTTGGTTGTTTTTTTGCGGGAATATTAAAATAAGTTCAGTTTTACCTAGGAAAATATCACAGTACATACATTTTATTATGATTTCCAACACAGTTTTTACCCTCTTCTTTGCACAAATGTTTCAAGCGTTTTTTGAAAGATTCTTTACTCAGAGACAGGAGCTTTTTTTAATCAGTAATTACATTTTTTTTTTTTTTTTTTTGGTCGATAGTTTTGTATTATTTGGTCAATAGATGGAGCTTCTTACAAGCTTCAGTTTTCTCATAATATTTATTCTCTGCACCCAGTCAAAACCAAATGGTCTTATGATTCTTCCCAAAAAAAGTTGAGCTGTCAAGGTGTTTTACTGTATCGAAAATCACATTCTTAATCAAAGTTTTCTGACAGTTGTTCAGAATAATTCCATAGTACCTGTTGAGTCACTAAACTTTGCTTTACTCCCACCAGCCCTCGTTTTAAGTTTAGTTTCTGTAAAACGTAAACAAATGTGCACAGCGCTGCATTAAACACATTATTAATCAATGTATATTTGAGTCGTCCTCGTAGGAAATAAGAAAACAAACTTACAATTATTCACCCACATTCACAAATGATGAGTAACTGTATTCAGTTACAGTTACTGTTTCAGTGAGTGGTAATTGGATTACAGTTACTTGGTTGAAATAAATGGATTACATGGCGGGATTTTCCTGTTTTAAAATTTTGGGATAAACCAGGACTAAAACCAGGACTAAATCAGGTCTAAACCAGGTCTAAACCGGGACTAAAACTAAACTGGACTAAAACAGGTCTAAACCAGGACTAAAACAGGATTTAACTGGACTAAACCAGGTCTAAACCGGGACTAAACCAGATCTAAACCGGGACTAAACCAGGTCTAAAACAGGATTTAACCAGGACTAAACCAGGTTAAAACAGGACTAAACCAGGTCTAAATCGGGTCTAAACCGGGACTTAAACCGGGACTAAACTGGACTAAAACAGGACTAAACCAGGTCTAAAACAGGATTTAACCAGGACTAAACCGGGTCTGAACCGGGACTAAACCAGGACTAACCAGGACTAAACCAGGACTAAACCAGGACTAAACCAGGACTAAACCAGGACTAAACCGGGACTAAACGGGACTAAACTGGGACTAAAACAGGACTAATCCAGGTCTAAACCAGGACTAAACCGGGACTAAAACAGGATTTAACAGGACTAAATCATGCTGTGCTCATCGTCTTCTATCAATAATATTTTTAATTTGGTTCAGTAAAGTCTGGGCTTTTTATTTTCTTTTATCAGACAAAACATCTTATGTGAAGATTTCCTCGTCTTTGCTTCTCTACAGCAAATCAAGTAATCCAAAGTATTCAGATTACGTTACTCACTTTAAGTAATTTAATGGATTTCGTTACAAACTACATGTTGGTGTATGTAATCTGTAATCTGTAGGGGATTACATTTTAAAAGTCACCTTCCCAACACTGCTCCTAAAACACTCAAAGCAATACATCTGGCTTGTCTAATGCGATTGTGATTTCCTTAAACATAAATAAAAAAACATATTTGTACAGATCTAAAGGAAGGAGGGGGAAAAAAAAAAACAGCTCTAATGTGCTTATCATTACCATGTCTTCGTTTTTTTTTTTCTTGGTTAATCTCTCCTTTTGCCTCCCGCAGCGTTCGGTGCCGTTCTCCAGGGCAGTCTGTTCGGGCTCGTGGGTCTGCTGCCTCAGAAGTACAGCGCCATCTTCATGAGCGGGCAGGGCCTGGCGGGGACCTTTGCGGCCGTCGCCATGCTGCTCGCTATCGCCAGTAAGACACAAACGCGCACACACACAAACACAAACTCTAATCCTGCCGTTGCCTAGGAACACCTCACAGTCAATACGAATCGAGCCGCAATGTTCACACACTTCCCACTCGCACAGAGCAGCTTTATGCCCTCCGAAGTGGGCACGGAGCCAGACGCCAGGGCAAATACACACATACAGAACGAGCATTTCCTTATAAGCGCTTCTGCTGTAAGTGCTGACGACTCGTGTGTACATGTCAGAAAGGAAGGGGGTGTTTAAATCCAAACCCACGTTATTTCTGCAGCACGTTTTACACACAAAGCAGTTTCCAAAGTGCTGCACTGAGATCGGAAAATGAAGACCACAATAAGATAAATTGCCAAAACGTGATCATACCTGTCCCAAAACAATAAAACCAGTCAAATCAAATAAAAATCATAAAATAGCAGCAAATAAGTAAAATAAATAAAGGAGACAGAGGATCACACAACTCACACGGTGTTAAAAGCCAGACAAGATGGCTACGTTCAGACTGCAGCCTGAAGTGACCCAAATCAGATTTTTTGGCCCCTATGTTCCTGTATCTGATCTTTTAATGACAGTCTGAACCACGCAGATCCGATTTTTTCAAATGTGACCCAGGACACTTGGATATGTGGTCCTGAAACCGATACATATCTGATCTTTTGACATGTGACTTCACTGTGAACGGCCAAAGCGCATTTATTCGACCTACACGTTATCAACAAGACACAAACGTCACTATTCTGCGCTGAAGCAGGCGAAAATTGTTAATGAACTCTGTGTCACTGAAGTGAAGCACATCACCACTCACCACTCTTGGCTCCGTCTCCACATCCACACGTTCCTTTCAACAGACTGAACCACAAAACACCACGACCAAAAACCTCGTCCTTCTCAATCTCCTCCTTAAAACAAGTAAGTTGTTCATGTTCTGGCTCCGGTACGAGAGGAACTTTTAAAATCTCCAGGTGCTCGATGCTGCGTCCATGTTTGGACAACTTCTGTAAACACAGAGACGCTCGCTGCGGTTGACGTCGTCGTGTCTCCAGTGTCACATGTGGGACACTTTTGGGCCGTTTAATGTTCACACTGGAGTCACATACAAGTCACATTTAACTGGAAATGTGAACGACCTCGCAAAAAACATTGGATTTCACCAAAAAAAATCCGAATTGAGCGTTAAGCCCTGCAGTCTGAACGTCGCCTATGAGACTTTAAACTCTCCACTTAAAAGTAAAACAGCAGTGTTCATGGTAGAGCTGCTTAATTTGGGGAAAAATGGAATTGTATATTTTCTTAGTTTTGTGGTTACATTTACGATTCTTGTGATCTTTAAGTCATTTTATAATTTTGTTTAGGGATGTACCGAATATTCGTCAACTGAATAGTCTGCGTTTGGTGGGGTGAGTTAAAAGTGAGGCCGAATAGTGGCGTGTGACACAGAGTCCTGCACCGGGGCGGGTACTCGCGGGCACGTAGCTATTGAAACGGGCGGGTTTTAATGTTCTGGAATTTTACGGACAGGTATGTGGGCGGGTAGTGATTAATGACACGGGCGGGTCAGGACTAAACTAGGACTGAACCTAGGACTGAACTAGGACTAAACCAGAACATAACTAGGACTACACCAGGACTAAACCAGGACTTAACTAGAACTTAACCAGGACTAAACCAGAACATAACTAGGACTACACCAGGACTAAACCAGGACTTAACTAGAACTTAACCAGGACTAAACCAGAACATAACTAGGACTACACCAGGACTAAACCAGGACTTAACTAGAACTTAACCAGGACTAAACCAGAACATAACTAGGACTACACCAGGACTAAACCAGGACTTAACTAGAACTTAACCAGGACTAAACCAGAACTTAACTAGGACTACACCAGGACTAAACCAGGACTAAACCAGGACTAAACCAGAACATAACCAGGACTAAACCAGACCATAACCAGGACTAAACCAGAACTTAACTAGGACTACACCAGGACTACACCAGGACTAAACTAGGACTTAACTAGAACTTAACCAGGACTAAACCAGAACTTAACTAGGACTACACCAGGACTAAACAAGGACTAAACCAGGACTTAACTAGGACTACACCAGGACTAAACAAGGACTAAACCAGGACTTAACTAGGACTACACCAGGACTAAACTAGGACTTAACTAGAACTTAACCAGGACTAAACCAGAACTTAACTAGGACTACACCAGGACTAAACAAGGACTAAACCAGGACTTAACTAGGACTACACCAGGACTAAACTAGGACTTAACTAGAACTTAACCAGGACTAAACCAGAACTTAACTAGGACTACACCAGGACTAAACAAGGACTAAACCAGGACTTAACTAGGACTACTCCTGGCTTAAACCAGGACTGCACCAGGACTACACCAGGACTAAACCAAGACTTAACCAGGACTAAACCAGGTATAAACCAGGACTGAACCAGGACTAATCTTGGACTTGAGAGAACAGCTGAGTTTACCTGTGTAGGGCAGAGCTCTGCACCAGTCTTTTCTCCTTCGGTCACCCAACGGTCTACACGGGCGCACCTATGAGCCCGTCCCGACAGTGAGTCCTGGTTCAGTCCTGGTTCAGTCCTGGTTCAGTCCTGGTTCAGTCCTGGTTCAGTCCTGGTTCAGTCCGTGGAGTGTGCGGTGCAAAAGTCCGGCATCTTGATCAATATTTCTTCTGCTCAGTAAACAATACCTGTGAAGTGATGACAGTCGAGTCGCGTCTGTGAATTCATACATGTGTGAAATGAAACAAAACTTGAGGTGTGTTTTTGACGATTATAAGAGATCAGAAAAGGACGTTATTTGGGCCCTTTCAGTGCACTTTGTAAACAACTCCAGGGGGATTTATCGTTTAAGAGACTGAATTCTGAACTCAAAAACATACAAAGATCCCATGAATTTCAGAACACGTTTGTAGTGATTTACGCCGTCTCAGATTGCGCTTGAATTGAGCTGTTCACACGTCCTGTTTTTGGTTATGTCATATTTCACTTTGTCCATTGTCTCATTGTCCTGAACAGCAGGGGTCCAAATACAACAGCATCGTGTAGTAGCTTTGTTTGCTTTGTTTAGTCCTGAGAGAAACATTTTTAGTTCAGTGTTTAAAGTCAATATTCTTGGAAAATGACGCGCTGCAGCAAAAATAAACATGTTTGCGTAACCTACATGTTCAGCCTCGTTCTCGAGCTTATTCCGTCCATGTTATTATTAGTTATAGTTTTTCCCCATAAAAATACATAAACTGTTATAAACCTATTAGACAGAGTCAAAACATAAATATATATATTAAAATGACAAAAACAATAACATGAGATAAGGAAGGTGATATAATTGTTCAAGTATCAGGGCCTGTCGACACGACAATGGTTTTTGGTCAAAACAGTGAAGTTTTTATAAGTTTGGTCTTTCGTCCACACGGAGCCGGAGTTTTGGGTGGGTGAAAACGGTGTTTTTTGAGAACTGGTTCCAGAGTGGAGAAATCTGAGAATGCTGGTGTTGTGTTGTCACGTGGACAAACAAACCACTGCTTTTGGAAAACAATGAAGTTACGACTCCGTCACAGCCCTCGAACTTGCCTCCACGGAACACAAGACCATTGCCAAAATGTGACAGGTGTAGCCTACAGGGCCGCTCCTGTCGCCCAGCAACAGAGATACTCTGCTAATGCTAATGCTAACAACTAGGGATGGGCATACGATTAAATTTTCTTAATCGATCGTTGGGAGAATTAACAATCGATTATTGATTAATCATTAATGTTTTTATATTAAAATGATCATTATTATTATTACTATCTGCACTACTAATCTGCATAAATAAATTCAACTTTACAACATATAAACCGTAACGACTCTAGAGCCACATCAGCCCGTTTGACATTATAATGTGTTTAATTCAGATTTGTGAAAGTGTCACAGAAACGAAACTTAAAACCTCATGACTAATTTGCATAAACTAAGCAAAGGAAAAAAAAACGGCTCTTGTGTCGCTGATGCGGCACGACTCAGGTGAATACAGGTTAGTGTGACCATATTTGTGTTTGTCAAAACCAGGACACCGTACGGGGGGAGGGAGGTGGGACCTCGTCATCCACATTGAGCGACTCTCACCTGGCAAAACTTTCATGTTTTCTGTGTCCTGGTGAACTTTTTCCCACTGGACACCGACACATATGTGCTGCTTTGTTCACTGTGCACATGGACTCACACTTGTCCCGAACGCAACGGAAAGTGTGGAATTTCTTGTACAAATCATCGTTAAATCCACATTTGTGCTTCGGTACGTTGCAGACTGACCCACTGTTTGTGTCTCGCTCCTTCTGATGCAGAGACACATGTACACACCTGTTTGGTCACGATACACACAGCAACCTACATTCGGTTTGTCAATTAAAATGAACGTAATCGATGAAATTCTTAATGATCAATTATCGATTAATCAACTAATCATGCCCATCCCTACTAACAACACACACCGCAGAATACACACACACTTTTGAATTCTGAGACCAAGTTATTCTAATAATTCTCACCCAAATCTTATGGCTAAAAATTTAAAGTTATGTTTACCTTGCAAAAAAAAAAAAAAAAAAACGGTGACGAGATCTGCATTATTAAATATTATTAACAGCACCACTGGTACCAGGTGTGGCATGTGTATGACATCATTTTCACTCAGTGACACTTCAGTCAAAATAAAATAGAAAAATAATACAGTAATAACATGTAGCTAATTGTTTTATATTCCAGATAAACACATTTTGTTGTACTTTTCACCTTTTGTAATAATTAATAATTAATTGATTTTCAAAGCTAAAAATCGCCTTTGACAAATATTGTTGATTGGCCACAGCAGCAGATATTGATTTCAACTCAAACAATATGAGCCTATCCCTAATACGTCACATGTAACTAGGGCTGTGCAAAAATATTGAAATATTGATATAGCGTATCGTTTAATGTAATGATACAGTATCGATATTGTGGGCTGCTGTATCGATACATCGCGTATCGAGTATTTTTGGTGTATTTTACTAAATAATTTTGTTACAGCTAAAGTTTTGTTGCTTGTTTAGTGGAAGGAAACTCATTCACACAGCAAAAAAGTGAGTTAAAATAAAAAGTAAGAACATTTGACTTTATCTGAGTCCACTCTGTCAATGCAATAAGTGTTTTTCTAAATTTAAGCGACATTCGATTTCATTTCTTATTTTAAGGATTGCCATTTTTCTTATTTATATAGCAAGTTGTGTTTTCATATTTTAAGTACAAAAAATCATGTTCCGCTGATGGATAATTTAACTTGTCAAGTGGAATTTACTCAGATTATGGTAAAATTTTCTTAATTCAAGTCATCTTAACTTGGCTAGGTTTTATTTTTTTCAGTGCATGCGACACATTTGACATTTTCACTGTTTTGAGGATTAAAATGTTTTTGTTTCACTTTGCACAAGAAGTGGTTTAACAAAGACTTTTAGTATCACAGCCACGATTTAGCCATTGTTTTTATTGAACCATATTCACTGTATCAAAATATGTATCGTATCGTGGCCTAGGTATCGAGGTATATATCGTATCGGCAGCTTCTTAATGATACCCAGCCCTACATGTAACTAAGCTGTTTTTTTTTTTTTTTTTTTTTTTTTCAGGTGACACAGACTCTGAAACCGCTGCGTTGGGATACTTCATCACTCCATGTGTGGGGACCCTGGTGACCCTCATCAGTTACCTGGTCCTGCCTCGTCTGGTCAGTCCCCAGAACTATTTCCTCTTCATAGGTTCCATCGTTTTCCTCTGAATACGTCACTCAACCTGTCTGTCTTGTTTTTGCTTTTTTTGGCAGGAATTCGCACAGTTTTATTTGGACAAAAGCAGCAAGTATGAACCGGGAACAACAGACGAGCTACTGAAAGGTGCGCAGTTACAGCCTTGTTTTCTTTACTTACTCAAAATAAATAACACATTGAAATTATTCCACATTTTAGACATATTTTGGTATTGAAGTGTCTCTCTGAGTGTCTAACTAAACTTCAAGATGTTATTTTAATATTTATTAGAAAGTACACTCATTTTGACAAATTGTGAAGACATTTTTTATATTTCTTTAATTTTATTTAAACTTTAAAATCAGAACTAGGATCAAACATTCTTTAACTGGCTGTGCAATTAATTGAACTTTGATCACGATTTCAATTTGTGTGTCAAACGATCTCCAAACTCATAGAAACGAGTTGAAACGATAAGCTTAACAAAGTTTATTTTGGGCTATTTTGTATATAAATAAGTATATTATAGTTTTTTTTAAATGTAGAGATTGTAGAGCAGCTGGATATATAGTTTATTTTGGATACATTTATGTTTTTCTGCCTTACTTCATGTTCAAACTATTTTATTCATTTTATGTTTTACAGTGTTCCCTCGTTTATCACGCGGTGTCGTTCTAAAAATAACCCTAGGTGAAATCCACAAAGTAGTCAACTTTATATTTTACAATTATTCTATCTGTTTTAAGTCTGTAAAACCCCTCACCACACACTTTTTTCATTTATTTCGTAATGGAGTCTTGCACGAGTCCATTTTTGGAGACCCGCACCCGCCCAGTACAGGTCCACACCTTCCCGCACCCGCCCGTTCACCCGAGATTATATCAAACTTTTACGCTGCCTACGCCATGAACTGAACCGGGACTGAACCAGGACTAACCTAGGACTGATTCCAGGACTGAAGAAGAGGACTAAACCAGGATTGAACTAGGACTAAAACAGGAGTAAACCAGGACTAAACCAGAACTGAAACAGGGCTCACTGTCGGGACGAGCTTGGAGGTGACCGCAGGAGAAAGGACCGGCTCAGAGCTAAGAGCGGCAATTGCCCGATCAAACTGCTCGGCGTTCTCTCTCTTAAGTCCAAGATTAGTCCTGGTTTAGACCTGGTTTAGTCCTGACCCACCCGAGTGTAATTACTATACGCAATAAGCGAAAGGTGAACCGCGAGGGACGAAGGTATACATCACAAAACTGCTCTAAGGTTCATATTTGTAACCTATATTTATTTTCAATTTGAAGTTTTTGCGTAAATTATCAATAATAAAGTATTTCTTTTTGAGTGAGAAATGCTGAATTAATACATCGTGTAACAAAAAAAATTATAATTTCAATAATCGTGATTTAAATATTGAACAAAATAATTGTGATAATGATTTTTTTTATTAATAATGAGAATAAGAATGTTGAATAATATGGTCCTTGTCATGGTGATAAACAATCCAAAAAGTTCCTATTTTATGTTTATATTCTGAAAAGTCCCTCTGTAACGGTCAAATGTGCCGTAAATAGACCAGATTTGGCCGTTAACATTTCCTTTTTGAATATGGAAAATGTGTTATGTTGACACTTGGGCTTCGGGCAGTGAGTCTAGTCCTTTTGCTCAGGCCATTTGTGAGACAAGTTGGCGCTCCTGCTGTTGCCCTAGCAGAATAAACACGTATTTGTTTTCATGAGTCACGGTCGGCGCTCTTCACAGCCAGCTTGAATCTAATCAATTTAGTGGTCCATTATCTCATTAAGCCACTTGACCCTCTGTTTATCCCCTGACAAAGACGGGCCTGTCGAACGCACGCATGTCCACACGCACAAACTCTTTCCATTCAGAGCGCTCTGTTTAAACACTCTGTAAATATTATGTCTCACTCATCAGTCTAATCGCTTATGAACGCCATTTTTAAGGGGAGAAGAACTTGACAGATTGGAAGTGAAGATTGAAGAAAAGAATATTGCTTCAGATCAGATGTTATGGAGCCTTTTGAACCAGTGAAATTATTAAGAATGAAAAAATACTGAGTCATAATTGTGCCATATCGTAAATATTTTAACCATTAGAGTACAATAAGGTTTTGTAGTTTTTTTTTAATTCCGAATTAACTGTTTGGTATTAAAATATTCTCCCAAGAGTTTAGATGGAAATAATAATTCAAAATTGAGGAGGAGAACACGTTAAATCATCTTTATTTAATACCATTCAGAGTCTGGGGGTGGGGAAAGGTTTTGATTGGACAGAGACACAAACGTATTTACGTCGACCGGAAGAAAAAACACATTTCAGCTGCTACCAGCTTTTCTGTCATCTCGGTTTGTCGTTACGCCACAGACACAAACACGATCCAAACTTTTTTCGATGATAATTGCGAAGCAGCTGGAGAATTCTCTCATCACGCTTTATGTAAAGTCTGTCGGCTGAGGAGGAGAAGGGAAGAGTGTCGGAGAAGGGAGGAAGAAGACAAACTGAATCTGAGGTTGCTCTACCTCAGCCCACTAGGTTCGGTTGCTTTATTCGTACCCGTAGGTAAATTTGCTTTGCAGATTTGAGAGGCAGATTCCACATTTCACATTTCATTCATCCACAAAAGACGTATAAAAACACAATTACAAAATAAAGTGTTACAGGGCTCCAGTGAAGAACGGTTTGTTCTACAAGCAATTAGTTAAATTCATCCATCACGCTTGGCTAAAATCACAATAAATATTAAATATCTTAAAAACACAATCTTATGAATAAACTGTAATCTATTTATCTAAGTACGAAAGCAGCCGGAACGAAGCTCCTTTTTAAAACGATTCGTTCTAGATCCTGGGACCAAAAGCCTCCGACCAGAGGGAAGCAGCCGAAACTCTGAGTTTAGTGGATGAAAGTCCAAAGAGAGGACTGGTGGAGCCAAATCGTGTCAGAAGGGCGACCCAACGAGCATGCAATGAACAACCGGGATTATTTTTAAGAAGAATAAACATTTACACGATCAAGGAATAAATTAATTAGGCTTGAAAACCGGAATAAACCGCCCACTTACTTCAGAATTAAGTTTAACTCCCAATAATCATTTTCATTAGGAATTTCATTAGGAAAAGTGTTTACGTGGTCGTTTACATGGTGATGGTGAACCTCAACATCTGAATATAGAAAGTTTTTGTCCAGATATAACTGCTGAAATTGTCTAAGCATACAGAGTAATTTGGCTGTTCCATAAACAATAAAACTGGCCCCAAAACTGAACCTTGTGGTACGCCTAAACTCACATACTGCTACATTATCTCGCGTGTCTTTACTTGACTTCTTTGTGGTTTCGGGGAACACGCCAGTCGAGAATGGGAAGCTGAACGGCCACAGTAATGGCTCAGTGCCCAGCGGTACAGAAAAAGGAGAAGGTCCCTGCGAGATGGAGCTGGAGTCCTGTCCAGACAAGACCAAGCAGGCCTTCCTGTCCCTGGAGCCCGAGGAGCAAAAGCAGGACAAGGCGACGGTCATAGAGGTCTTCAAGAAGGTCAGTCCATGTAGGCCTCAGCAGTTTTTAGGATTAAGTTGAATCTTTTCTTTTGTAACATTTTTAATGGACTTAACATTTTGAATTTTATTAATGAGAAACTGTAGTCCATATTCCTGTTGGGGATTCACTGATCTGATAGAGGATTTGCACCGATACGGAAAAAATGCTGGATCGGATATCTGCTTCCAATTGTTGGTCCAACCAATATAATGATTTGAGATATTGATTAGAGCCCGACAGATATCAATACAGGCACTTGGAGACATATTGGCTATCAGTTTAAATCTTGCAAATCTGAGCCGATAGTCCTCGTGGGCATCAAATACCTCATTATAATAAAGCTTAGACTACTGTATATATTTATATTTAATCCAATTTACAGACAAATAAATGTTGCGCAACACTGAGGCGCTGCTTTAAACGCTCTCGTGTCTGATCTAAGATATTAACTATAAATAGAAGTTAACGTCAACGCAGTTTAGGCCAGAAACAAAACTACTGCTTGTTTTTATTTATTTTATTTTTTTCATAATTTTTACGGACACTTGTTTTGAGTCAGGATTAAAATGACACTTATTATTGCAGGCTTGTGATCTGAGAGGAGCCCGTGTGAGGCTGAGAGTTGCAAATGTGTCGGTTTTGGAGCTTCTTTTGGTCCTTTCTCGTTGTTTAGCTGATGTAGCTGCCACATGTTTTCTTACATTGTCCTAGTGTAAAGTGACTATAGTGTCTGTACATGTTACTGGACCTGCATTGACATGTAAATGAGCTGTGAACAGAGGTGTGCATGATCGGCATTTACACACATAATTAATTACCGTAGTGCGCACACATTTCCTGCTAAAGACTAATAGCTGTAGTTTATTTATTTTCTTTACAGGCTGGAATGTCACACAAAAATGCCATTAGGGTGACCTATTGTCTTTAAATGTAACATAAAGAACCAAAATAACAGTAAATGTCGTCTAAACAAACCCAACTTAAAATCCAATAAAGCTAGACCTAAGTTTTATAATCAATTGAAGATATAAATATACTAAATTCTAAACATATCAGCTTTTATATCGGCTATCAGCAGCTCCAACTCCAACACAATTTATCGGTATCATGTTGGCCACAAGAAATCGGTCAGGCTCTTATATTTACTAATATTAAATAAAATAATTTACTGGTCGTAGTTGGCCCAGAAAATCTCTTACTGTTTTCTGAATTTTAATTTATTCAGAGTTGTTCTGTAGTTAGAGGAGAGCAAAAAAACAGCTACATTTGGATCAGACTTTTGTTATTTTTGTTTTAAGAAATAATTCTGTTTTCAGGCTCTACACTGGTATCTGTTAATATTGGGTTTTGGTAGATTCTTAAAGCTTTAGTATCAGAAACTATTGGAACTGAAAAAGCTGTATCGGTGCATCTCTAATTCCCGTACAATAAAATCTTTAGAGTCAACCTCTTTCTGAAGCAGGGCTCTGTATTTTAAGAAACCACATATTTGTAGTATTTTGTATCAGTGTTTTTTGTGGGAAAGTGTTTCTGCGGAGTGTAAAATTCTCAAACCTACCATCGAAATCGTTATCCGTCGTCTTCCATTAACACCAGATGGTTGTGTGTTATTATCGTAGGAAGTAGACCCGCACAGCAGTTCTTTGGAGCTCCCAATGTTTTATTTTCTACAACACCACATGTGACGATTCAGGTTAGAGCCCCGCTTCATGGAACTGCTGCGTGGATCTACTTTCTGTCTACAGTTTTGTGTTTTTGGACCCAGCATGGAGTCTTAACAGTTTGTAGAAGTGCCTCTCTGACTACATACCACTGTGTATTATTAATATATCATAAACGAATAAATGTTTACATGATAGAGGAATTCGGCTTTAAAATTGGAATAAACTACCTACTTACTTCGGAATTGAGTTTAATTCTCAATAATTATTCTCAATAGGAATTAAGTGTTTACATGGTCTTTTTAAAGCAGAATACATTTTTATTCAGAATTACAGCTCTCGTGTAAACGTGGCAGGTGAGACGGTTAAATACATTATCGACCGAATAAGGTTTGAAATATGTTGATGGGGACTTTTTAATGAAAATGAGATTTTGTTTATTATTTTTTGACCTTTTGATTCAATAACGCCAGGCATGTCCAAACTATGGCCCGGGGACCGAATGTGGCCCTCAGACAAATTTTTCTTGGCCCTCTGACTTCCAGGTGAATTGGCCCAAATGACCTTGCATCAATTAAAAAATATTTTTTTTATTGCAAGTTTTTGAAAATCTGCCTTGATAAAGCAAATATTTCATATTTAGTGTGTGGGGTTTTAAGGATCTTAGCAGGAATAAAGATTGATGGGTCATTCTAACGTGTTAAACATGCAAATATTTCAATTATTCCCTGTATTGAGCATCAGTCTACAGCCCTCGATCGGCCCTGATGAAAAAAGTTTGGACACCCCTGAATAATACCATTGGTGTCTTTGTTCTAAAAGTCAATTTTGTATGTATTTTAAAGTACATAGTAAATGGTCACATTTTTCTATAGCGCTTTTCCATCTTCAAGGCACTCAAAGCACTTTACAACAAGGAACCACTCACCCACTCACACATTCACACACCAGTGTACGCAGACACTGTGGGCAAGGTGGGTTAAGTGTCTTGCCTAAGGACAAAACAACAGCATTCATCTGTGGGAGCTGGAATCACACCAGCCAACCTGTGGGTCAGTGGATCTGACCAGTCAACCTGTGATGTTTATGTCGAGAGCTGGAATCAAACTGCCAACCTTCAGATCAGTGGGCGAATGCTCTACTGCCGTCCTAGTGCACCAGGATAACAATGATCAAAATACAACTATAATCATTTTTTTGTAGTAGTCATGTTTTGTTGATGAAGCGTTTCGGAGCTTATCAATTCATTAACTTCACAGGTTTAATTGGACTGAATCTATTGTTTTGTGTTTCCTCCACAGATCTGGGTGATGGCGTTCTGTGTGACCTTTGTGTTCACCGTCACCCTGTCCGTGTTCCCCGCCGTCACCGTCGACGTCAGAACGGCTTTTCCAGGGAAATGGGGTAAGAAACTCGTACAAAACCCTCATGAAATACAAAATATATATATAAAAACACATAATAATCTTGTGATGTGTTTTCAGAGCGTTACTTCATCTCGGTGTGCTGCTTTTTGACCTTCAACATAAGCGACTGGCTCGGCAGAACCATCACCACGTTAGTCCAGTGGGTGAGTCCGCAGCTGCACAAAGGAACAGGAACAAAGCAGAACGATGAACTGAACCGATGAGAAGAACCTGCTCCATGAAACAGAAGCAGGAGGATGAAAAGGAAAACTACACACCGGATTTATTCTGAATCTGTGTGTCGTTCGATCATTAGTTTTTCAAAATAAAACCCAAAATAAGAAAACGAAAAAACAACTAAAACTACTAAACCAGGACTGAACCAGGACTAAACCAGGACTAAACTAGGACTGAACCAGGACTAAACCAGGACTAAACTAGGACTAAACCAGGACTGAACCAGGACTGAACCAGGACTAAACTAGGACTGAACCAGGACTGAACGAGGACTAAAACAGGACTGAACAAGGACTGAGTCAGGACTAAAACAGGACTGAGTCAGGACTAAACCAGGACTGAACCAGGACTGAACCAGGACTGAACCAGGACTAAAACAGGACTGAACAAGGACTGAACCAGGTCTAAACTAGGACTAAATCAGGACTGAACCAGGACTGAACCAGGACCAGACTGGGACCGACGCCGGGACCAGACCAGGATCAAACTGTGATTGAGACCGGGACTTTGACCGGGACTTTGACCAGGATTGAGAGACCAGGACTGAAAACGGTTTAGTCCTGGTTCAGTCCGGCCGTTATCCGTTTTTTCCATTTTTTTATTTAAACACAAAATCGAAAACTGAAAAAAACAAATCATTATCTGTTTTTTCATTTTGGTTTTGGAGACAAATAATGAAGAAAAAAAAGTTGTTTTTTCATTTTCTTATTTTTGGGTTTATATTAAAAAAACTAATGAATGATTGAATGACACACGGATTATTTTGACCTCCTGAATTGCTTGTACAATATTCCCCTCCTGGGATAAAGCAAATAGTGCTGAAATACATGGAAAATAATCATGCTCAGACCCTTTTAAAGTTGTGATTATCCATAAAATGCATAAAATAAACCTCGTATGAGTTTTATATAAGAGAGAGACATTTCAGTAAATCAGATCTGACCTCCAGGACAATAATGCAGCTTGTAATGTCCAATACAAACTTTATTCTGTCGTGTTTTTCAGCCGGGTAAAGAGTCCCGCCTGTTCCCCGTGCTGGTGGTGTGTCGCGTGGTCTTCGTGCCGCTCCTGATGCTGTGTAACGTCCAGGAGCGCTCCTTCCTCCCGGTCTTCTTCTCCCACGACGCTGCCTTCACCATCATCATGATCCTGTTCTCCGTGTCCAGCGGATACTTCGTGTGCCTTTCCATGTCCTACGCGCCGCAGTGAGTATCAGGCCGCTCCGGGACGGTGGGAAACCTGTTCTACCGGTGACGGAGGCGCTTTTTTATGTAGGTGCATGCTTGCGTGTGCACACATGAGCTTCTTACTTTTTTCCACGTGTCTGCGTCCCAGTGAGAGTCTCCTGGTTTCTCATCACCAGAAAACAGCGTCTACACGGACACTCACAAAACCAGAGGCCTCGTTTGTAAAGCTCATTTACGCACAAATCATTGCGTAGACGCTCTTTACAGCAACCGTAGGATTTATGAAACTCGTCCTAAATGCCGCGCTTTGCTTATCTCCACATCAGCTCGGACCTGCTGTAAGCTCCACGCAGAGTCTGGAGACACGGGGAAAAGCGACACTCGTGGAGAGGAGCAGAAGTGAACAGAGTCTGAGGAAGAGTTTGATCAGGAAAATATCAGAAAATCCACAGATATAAAATAATTATATTCAGTTTTGTGCATTTAAGCAGAGGTTTGCTGTTTATTGTACTCATTATTCTCCACAATATTATACATTTGAAACTCGATCCTGGTGCAGCGCAGCGTCTCCCACAGTCCACGACCATAGATTTCTATAGAACACAGTCTGTGGCTGTGACCCAACAAAGAGGATGAAATAATCACCAGACCTGAGAGAAAACTCTTCCCTCAGACAGAGCACAGGAGAGATGCTCCAACTTTAATTTCTTCATTTTTGTCTTTATCCACTGAGCACCAAAGTGTCCTGAGTCTGAGCACGACACAAACCCTACTGTCCAACCCTGACCCGAACCCAAAATATTCTCTACATTTTTGTGTAACAGGGAGCTCCTGCAAACGAGAGCTGCTCTCTGACATTAAGGGGTAAGCAGAGTTTGGATGTTCCGTGTGGACTTTTATTGGCAGAATAACAGCGCCTAACTCGTTTTAGTAATTGAATAATTAGAATAGCCACGGCGAGCCTTAGATGGGTGCAGTTAGATGCCTTTGAAACATAAATCATTGTCCATCTATTAGTGCACACAGGAATCAAAATGACACTTTTACAATGGTAATAAGCAAGTTGCAAACAGTTGCAGCGCGAACAGTCCCTCTTTCCGTACGTCGTGCTGCCTGCGCAACAAAACCAGAACTAAACCAGGTCTAAAAACGGCTCTAAAACCAGGACTTAAACAGGATGTAGCCAGGACTTAACCATGCCGCCGGACCGCCCACTGTGCCTTCTCTCATACGCAGCCCAATTACTTTTGCTTCTCCGCGTTTGATAGAGTTTAAGAAAGCAAAGGTTCCCATCCTGCGGGACTTGCGGGCGGGCGCAGGACAAAATATCACAGATGCGGGCAGGAGCGGGACTGCAAATTACAATTCTTTGCGGGCGCGGACCTCTATTGTAAAGTTTAGTCATGTAAATTTTATTGATGCAGAAAAGTTAAATTAATAATCTGCTGCAGTGTCACTTGTTCAACGTTGGGTTTGATCTGCAGTGGATTATGGGATGCCTCAGAGCTCCTTCCTGCTGGAACATGGATCTATTAAAATAATGAACCTCCCAAACTTCCTCTGCTAAAGGAGCTCATGATTCTGGTCATTGCACGGTTACAGAGTTAATGCAAAGATGAGCTTGAGTTGAGTTGTTTTAATTTAATTTTGAATGAAAAGAAGGTAATCTGTATTATTGTTGTATACAGAGATGTTTTTATTAATGTCACAGAAGCACTTTGTTCCTAAATGAACTTTGTGGAATTTGTTTTTACAGTGGATTTGGGGGGGTTATTTTTCCTGTACACATATCGAGATATATATCGTATATCGCCCAGGCCTAAGTGGAATTCAGAAATCCCTTGGCGAGCAACTTGGAGACTCCTGTCCTAGACCCTGTGGCACGTAACACCCGGTGAGTCTCCTGGTTTCTCATAAATATCCAGGAGAATCTGAAATCAGGATACTGCGTCTCTCACATAGACACTCACATAACCAGGATACTCATTAACCCTCACACTCTCCTTGGGGTCACACTGACCCAAAGAATAATTTTTTTTTCTTTCACACTCTCTTGGGGTTGGTCAATCAGACCCAAAAATGTATTTTCAAATAAATTCTTCTTTGGGTCAATGTGACCCCGAGGAGAGCGCGAGGGTTAAAAAAAAACAAAAAAAAACCCCATTAGAACCAGGACACTCGAGGGCATGTTTACGCTCTCACTGAACGCACGCTTGAATAATCGAGTGTTCAAGGCCCCGCCCTCCGTCTCCACGACAACACAAACCAAACGCCAACTACAACCTCTAACTTTTCTTTTTTTCTTTTCTTTTCTTTTCTTTTCTTTCAGAATGGTGCAGCCTAAAGACGCAGAAACGGCCGGAGCGTTGATGACCTTCTTCCTGGCGCTGGGTTTGTCCATCGGGGCGGGGCTCTCGTTCCCTCTCAGATATTTGGTGTAAAAAAAAGAAGAAGAAAAAAAGAAAAAAGAAAGAAAACTATCAAATGAAATGTAAATTAACAAAAAAACGTGGCCAAAATTTCTTAAAATTCGTCAAAATAAGTGTGAAACGGGTTAGATATTTTTGTTATTTATGTTTTTGTATCTCTGTAGTTTCAGGGGCATTTTACAAGTAGAAAAAGGGAGTATTATTATTATTATTATTATTTTATACATTTTAACTATGCTTTAGATTGATTTTGTAGTTCCATTTCTTGTGTTATTACTATGATGAACAAACTGAAGTTATATTTAAAAAAACAAAAACACAAAGACCAGCCTTTGTTATAAAAGTATTGCATTGTTTCATTCCAAGCGGTGTAGCGCCCTCTGCTGGATCGATGCGCAGCGTGACTGAGCAGGACGGACGAGTTCGACGACGGATTTCTGCTGCATGGAGACAATTACGGACTCACAGAAACTTTAAAAAAACATAATGAATATTGTAATTTGTTAATTTTCTAGTTTACTTGAGCAGAGTACTGTATTGTATTTTGAAACGTGCCATGCAATAACTTTTGGATGCATTTTTTTTCGTCGAGTATTTGTATGCAGAGAGCAACGTCGTCGTTTATTTGGTTTGGAGAAGTAGACGGGAGGAGTTTAAAGTTTTAGACAAAACTTTGGAAAATGTTTAACTAATTTATTCTGTTTTACAATGTGCTTTTTTTTATATTAAAATAAGTAACTTATGTGATGACTTCATGACGTTGCCCTGTCGTTCTGCCCCGTTCATTCATTAAGTTCATACTCGGGCCCGAAGTGGTTGAAGTGTCTTGCCAAATGACACAAGATCAGGATGACCAGATGTTCCAGTTTACCCGGGACAGTCCCAGTTTTGAGTCCTGTGTCCCCTGTCCCAGCAGATTTACACAAAACCAATGATTTGTCTCAGTTTTATATAAGAAATTTTCCTATTTTTGAGCTATTTGAGCTAAACCAGGACTATATCCGGTCTATTTCAGGTCTTAACCAGGTCTAAATCAGGACTAAAATAGGGCCAAAACAGGACTATAATGTAAATTCTAAACCAGGACTATACCAGGGCTAAACTAGGGCTAAAATTGAACTCTATTAATTCTAAACCAGGACTAAACTAGGACTGAAATGGGACTAAACCAATTCTAACCTAGGTCTAAACCAGGTCTAAATCAGGACTAAACTAGGACTATTATCAGTTCCAAACCAGAGGAGCATAAATTTCATTTGTTCAGACGGCTCTTGTGTATTTAGTCTCAGATTTTTCTTAGACCCACACGTGAGTCGAGTCTGGACAAACTCTACACGCTTTTCCCACTTATTTTATTTACACCCACTTTTTTTTTTATATATATTTTTAATTCTGAAAACCTGGTCGCCTTCTGCCAGATCAAAAAAAAAAACGAGCTGGACTGGGATTTGAACCTTTGAGCCTTTGTTTGAGTCGTGAGCATCTCTCCTGTCCACTTCTCCAAACTATGAACAAACTACGATTTAAACTACACAAGTGACTTTTGTTTAACACAATTATCAGAGTTTATGATTTAGTTTTCTATGTCCAGATAATTCAACACTTTGACTTCTGAATCGTGTAAACAGATGATATTTTTGTGGGAGTCACAAGCTGCTCATTTCATTCCGTGTTTTACTGCACATAAACAGTTTGTGATTCTGATTTTGAAGTAACGCTCTTAGCTCAAAGAAGGGCTAGTTTTATAGACTCAAACTGAGCCTTAACTTTATTTTTGGGAGGTTTCCGTTGTTTGTTTGTTTTTGGGAGGTTTCTGTTGTACATAGGAGCTGCTCAAGTTGAACTCGTCATCTCATTTTGTCTGTTTTAAAGGGAAGCCTATGCATCAACACGTGTACATGTGTTTGTGCAGAAGTAAATGTTTACTGCAGCACCAAACTGGACTCCAGACTCTTTTTTTTTATTTTATTTGGCCCGAGCCCCGACAGGGACTGGGGCCGATTGCTTTTGATACGACGAGCTCCTGGGCGAACACGACAGGACGTCACATATTTCCACATGGTTTCCAAAATCAATGGATCGTTTTGTTTCATTTATTTATTTGTTTGAGCCAGGTACAACCAAAATTCAAAAACGGTAACAAAATTAAAGCTGCAAGCGGCATCGAACGGCCCTCGCCCAGTGCACGCTGAGCTCGCAAATGCCAGACCCGCAAACAGAAAAATGACATAGGGCCCTGTAACGTAGGTTGACCGTGAGCGGCTTGGGGTTCAGTGAGCAAGGTAAAAAAAACAAATCCAGACACAGACAGGTAGTTGTGGTCCACAGTTTACTTTTGTTTTTTCAATGATTACAAAAGTGCAAGTGCAAAAAGTGCAGGGTGCAAAATGGAGGCAGGCAGCAGTTTCCTCTCCAGCAGCAGAACACAGACTGATGTTTGAAGGCGTCTTTTATGCCGGTCCTACTGATTGGATAAAACCACTATGCTAAAACAGGGATGGTTAAAATTATCATTAGCGTAAAATTAAAACCTAAACCTCCATAAAACAACCCAAAACCCAGATAACTATTAAAACCACCAACTATATACATAAAACCCTAAAACCATTACACCAATTAAATGTTAAAACCCATAAACCAATAAAACACCAAACCTAAAACCCCTGTACAAAATGTTACACGTGGTCCAGCCCGGAACCATAAAAGAGGGAGCTCGTTTCCGGGGGACTCTTTTCACACCTGGACAGAAGATAAAAAGGGGAGGTAAGTAAAAGCAGATCCACCATTCATTAAAACACAATAAAATACACTAAACACATCAACACTTAAAACATTCTAAAACAGATATTGCACCATATTTATTGCACAAAGTCAATTTAAAATGTAATTTGTTATTGTCTCCCTTTTCCTCCAGGGACAAGCAACTTCCAATTAAAGTGCCACTGTGCCTCAGGAATAAAAAATGGTTAAAGGAAAACCAATAAATATTTTTTAAAACCAATTGTGTGCAATTTATTTTGTGATGTGCAAATATGTTAAAAGTGCTGTGTGCAAGGAAAGTGCAGTGTTTTAAAGTGAAGGGTGAAGGTGCTAAGTGTGGTTCTAGGGTAACAAACCAGCCTGTTTGTTACAGGCCCGGTCAAGCAGAAGTAAACAGCCAGACCAAAAATTCAAGTTAATGCATCTGATATAAAAATGTATTGAACAGATACATATGTACTCTAGTTTATGAAACTGTTTACTTTTTTTCTGTACCATTTTTGGTTCTAAAGTTCCATCCGTTTTAAACAGACCATGTATGAAACATGGAACAAAAATTATTTCCCAAATTTCAAAGACCTGAAAATCATGTAAATAAATGGATGTATTTCATCATATCTTGTGTTATTCCATCTTTGAACTTTTGATGAAGGGACATGATTAAAAAAAGTATTTAAAATGATAGAAATTTGCTTGGAAGGACTGACATATTTTATAGAAATAGTTTCCTTTCATTTTGAAGTAATATTAAAGTATTCAGAAGAAAAAAGCGACAAATTATGTAAAATCCTGCACCTTCTACTTGTTTGCACAATTTTCCCTCTGTTACTTTTCCCTCTGTTACCATGACCTTTATTAATAAAAAATCTCATGACTCAAAAAGTAAGAGGTTTTTCAACCTAATCTTGTACCATATGGTAGAAAACTATATGAAGCAAATATTCAAACCAGTTTGTTAAGGATATGTAAGTGAGAACCAAGAGTTATCACTGTTTGGATTTATTGACCAAAAAGTGCTGCATATTTCATTCCCTCCGTTACCGACATGAGTTTTTTAAATTTTTTGTCAACAACTTGAAAGAATATCACAGGTTTAACTTGACCCTGTTGGAGTGTAACTCTTTCCTACATTCTGATACTTTACTTATTTCAATAGTCCCTCTAGTTTCTGAATAAGAGACATTTGAATGTCAAAAATCTGCCTGTTTCCCTCCGTTACTTCTTGACCGGACCCCATAGTGCACCTTTAAATGTTCTTTGCGTCCCCTGCTGGCCAACCATGAAAAAAAATATTTTCATAGTGATGGGCGAATGGAGCCTCGTGAAGCATCGACACCTCAGTCGCAATATTGTCTCAAATGGTTCGACGTGTCTGAGGTCTTGGAGAAACACTGACCTCTAGTGGACAAATTTAACCACTGGCCTCAGGTGTCTCAGCATCGATGAAGTATTGTTAGTGTAAGACAATACTTGTGTGCAGAGCGACACCGTACTTAACAACAACAACAATAATAATGATGATTTAAAATAATATGTAAAGAGCAACATAAACAGCTGCTGTAAATAAGAAAACAGGTGTTTCCTTGTTCGGTGGAATTAGATCAAAGTGATCCCAAACCATGGATCACTTTTTCCCACTTGTAGACGCCGTCGAAAATGAAACAAATGCCAAAAGTCGCCAAAATCACCACTAACGTCACACAATACTCCTCACTACCCAACGTTTTTAAGAAATATTGGTGCATCTTTTATAATGTAGCAGTTTAGCACTCGTCAAACCACAGAAGTGCTCTGAACCAATCGCAGAGCGGAACATTTGCTGAGCCAATGAAACGCTTCGATACACTGAAGCGATCGACACGCAGAGAGAAGCAGTAGGGGGAGGGACACTTCCACACTTCGGTCACGTGAGCGGCTGCTGCGAGACGAGCTCCGAGGCAGTGGCTTCGGAGGAATTTGTTTCAGAAAGAACGAGACGTGCTCCAGAGCTCCGCCTCATTTGCCATGTCACTAGATTTTCAGAAAACATGAGATCCTGGTCTATTTCGAACCTACAAACACTCTAAGTCTACGTTCAGACTGCAGGGCTTAACGCTCAATTCCGATTTTTTTGTGAAATCTGATGTTTTCACGAGGTCGTTCACATTTCCAATTAAATGTGACTTGTATGTGACTCCAGTGTGAACATTAAACGGCCCAAAAGTGTCCCACATGTGACACTGGAGACACGACGACGTCAACCGCAGCGAGCGTCTCTGTGTTTACAGAAGTTGTCCAAACATGGACGCGAGCATCGAGCACCTGGAGATTTTAAAGTTCCTCTCGTACCGGAGCCAGAACATGAACAACTTACTTGTTTTAAGGAGGAGATTGAGAAGGAGAAGGACGAGGTTTTTGGTCGTGGTGTTTTGTGGGGCAGCGGCAGCGACGTCCGTTGAAAGGAACGTGTGGATGTGGAGACGGAGCCAAGAGTGGTGAGTGGTGATGTGCTTCACTTCAGTGACACAGAGTTCATTAACAATTTTCGCCTACTTCAGCGCAGAATAGTGACGTTTGTGTCTTGTTGATAACGTGTAGGTGGATGAATGCACTTTGGCCGTTCAGACTGAAGTCACATGTCAAAAGATCAGATATGTATCAGTTTCAGGAGCACATATCCAAGTGTCCTGGGTCACATTTGAAAAAATCGGATCTGTCATTAAAAGATCAGATACAGGTCACATAGAGGCCAAAAAATCAGATTTGGGTCACTTCAGGCTGCAGTCTGAACGCAGCCTTAGACAGAAACTGGTTCACCCAAAAGGCACAAACGAAGCAATGTGGTTTACTCCGTTCAGTGTGGTGAAGACTGAAGTGAACGCTACATTGGAGAAACTAAACAGCTTCACAAGAGGATGAACCAACACAGACGAGAGAGCAGCAGCGGACCTCAGTCTGCTGTTCATCTCCACTTAAAAGCCACGGGCCGCTCATTTGAGGACAGCGAGGTACAGATTTTAACCAGAGAAAAAATTTGGTTAGAGAGGGGAGTGAAAGAAGACATTTTTGTTAAGAAAGAGGAAAAATGGAGGCCTCAGACACCATCTCTCTCCTATTTACAACTCCATCCTCAAACCTAAATCAAAACAAACAAGAGAACAACAGGTGTAGTCAGGTCAGGTCCAGAGGTGAGGAAGCTCCATTATGACCATGAATTGTTATGTTAATTAGACCCCAAATCCAGTCAATAGGCCGAACTAACTAACAGAAACTGTAAACAAGTGTGTGTGTTAGTTTCAGTGTAGTTTCAGTGTAGTTAGCTCCTCCCTGCAGATATAAGGAAGTGTCCACCAACGTCTGACCAGAACTGAAGAAGCAGCTTGGATGAAATGAGAAACATATTCAACCAAATTAACTGAATTTTCTCCTCGTCATCACGCAACTGTTAGAACTGCAGTGTTGGGAGTGTTACTTTTAAAATGTAATCCCCTACAGATTACAGATTACATACCCCGAAATGTAGTTTGTAACGTAATCTATTAAATTACTTAAAGTGAGTAACGTAATCTGAATACTTTGGATTACTTGATTTGCTGTAGAGAAGCAAAGACGAGGAAATCTTCACATAAGAAGTTTTGTCTGATAAAAGAAAATAAAAAGGCCGAGTCTTTAAAAATATTATTGATAGAAGAGGAGGAGACACGGTCCACGCAGCATGATTTAGTCCTGTTAAATCCTGGTTTAGTCCTGGTTTAGACCTAGTTTAGACCTGGTTTTAGACCTGGGTTTAGTCCTGGTTTAGACCTGGTTTTAGACCTGGGTTTAGACCTGGTTTAGACTTGGTTTAAGTCCTGGTTTAGTCCTGTTAAATCCTGGTTTAGTCCTGGTTTAGACCTAGTTTAGACCTGGTTTAGACTTGGTTTAAGTCCTGGTTTAGTCCTGTTAAATCCTGGTTTAGTCCTGGTTTAGACCTAGTTTAGACCTGGGTTTAGTCCTGGTTTAGACCTGGGTTTAGACCTGGTTTAGACCTGGTTTAGACCTGGGTTTAGACCTGGTTTAGACTTGGTTTAAATCCTGGTTTAGTCCTGGTTTAGTCCTGGTTTAGTCCTGGTTTAGACCTGGTTTAGTCCTGGTTTAGACCTGGTTTAGTCCTGGTTTAGTCCTGGTGTAGACCTGGTTTAGTCCTGGTTTAGACCTGG